GGCCAGGGCGGGCGCGGGCTCCAGCGCGCCGGCCGGGCGGTGCCAGATGCTCGCCAGATGCGGCCTCCGCAGCGACCGCGCGCCGTCTGCTCCCGGATGTGGGCGCTGAGGCGACGGCCGATGCTAGGACGCGCTTGGCTGCTGCTCGGACCGCAGAGGAGGCCGCGGCGGCTACGCGAAGCTAGTGAGGGTCGCGGGTCCGATGGCCGGCGCTGTCAGGGACGCTGTGGAGGCGCAGCGGCAGCCGCACGCAGAGGACTCTCGGCCGGCTCTGCCCCTTCTGCGACGGACCCCGCCCACTGCAGACCCAAGCCCCGCCTCCACCGCTAACCCCGCCCTCCCCTCCTCCCTCTGCGGCGTTCCAAGAGCCCGAGGCTCCGCCCCGCGAGGCCCGCAGTGCCTGGCCACGCCCATAGCCCCTTCACTCCGCCCACTCTCGGGTCCATCGCTTTCTCCGCTCCTTAAACCGCCTATCTGCAAGCACTGGCACCGCCCATCGCCCCTGCTGGACCACGCCCTCTCCTGCGCCTGATCCAGCCGCCCAGCGGAGCGCCGATTCTGTGCTGGGGGACCCAGACCGCAGAGCTGCACCAGGGACCGGGTTAGCTGGAAACGCCGCAGAGTCAGCCCGGCCTCTTAAAGGGGACGGCAGTGTGGGCAGCCGCTCGCTTACCCCTCTAGGGCGCCCCCTCCCCCACGTCGTCTGCCAAGGAGGCCTCGCTGCTTGCTTCTCCCCCTCCCCCAAGTCCCCTGGCTTGGGAAGTAGGAGACCCCGGCCTGAAAGGTCACGGAGGCTCGGGGACCACAGCATACGAAGATGCACCCACACCCACCCCTACTCCAGCCTGGGACGGCCTATATCGATCTTCCCAAGATACGGCAGCGCTGCCGCCGACACGTCCCCCACGCGGCGGACCCGAGGGTAGACTCCTCGACCGCTTCGCCAGCGCCCCCTGCCCCAGACGCGGGCTTCGTCGTCCCGAGATCCGCCAGGGCACTACGGAGCCCGCTGGTCCCCGGCCCCACGGAGGCTCCGGGCCGCGTGGTGGTGGTTGGCGGCGGGGATTGCGGGAACTGAGCAAAGACCCTCCCGGGGTCTGACACCCGCAAGCTCGGGCTGGGCCTCCGCTCCTCTGAGCTGCTGCCGCACCCGCCTTGACCACCACACAGGTACACACACTTGGATGCAGCTTACCCAGAGTTGGAGGTCCTTTTTCCCTTATTCGTTCATTCATTCAAATCTTGTTTTCAGACTCAACACCCTGTCTCCAGTCTCCCGGTGTCTCCTGAACCAATTTACAAACGCCTTTTTTGTTTTCAAATAGCGTCCATTATTGAGTGCTTAGCATATGGCAGGCACCATGGTGGCGAAGTGGTTAAGAGGTCAGGCCGCTAACCAAAACGTCGACAGTTCGAATCCACCAGCAGCTCCTTGGAAACCCTATGGGGCAGTTCTACTCTATCCTATAGGGTCCCTATGAGTCAGAATCAACTCGACGACACACGACAACATCATACTGAGTTATTATTCCCATTTTACAGAGAAGGTTACTGAGTCCTGAGAAGTAGAAAGCAATCCCAAGGCACATGCTCCAACCCAGCCTTCCTACACTGCTGGCCCTTTGTGCGTTACCCAATTTGATCCTCACTACAAACCGCAGAGGGGAGGTGACTGCCACCTTTGAACGCCTGTAGCTTGCCCTGTATGCGCTTAACCAGACATTTGAAGTGTTCCAGTTTCTTCCATCTGCATTTTTTTAATTGCAATTTAATTTTGTCTTGTTACTAACTGTTGTGTTTGTTTTTTGATCTCTGTGTGTAAGCTTCAGGGCAGGTACCCTGTCTTACAGGGACGATGCCTTGGTGTCCTCCACAACAAAGGAGACACGAAGACTTGCTCTGGAATGTTGTGGCTGTGATGTTTAGTCCACTGTGTTTTTGATTCAGTCACAAGAGCACTCCTTCCCTTCCCTCAGCCCCAGCTCCTTGCTCCCTGCCAAAATGGACTCGTCTTTAACACTCAGAAACTCACCTGTCTTGAAAGCTTTCTCTGCTTAATCCAACCCAACTTGGTCACTACTCCTGATTCTTTGTCTTCCCATTTTTTTGATGGTTTTCTTGTTTATCTATCCTAAGGAATGAAAACCCCTTTGCCTTAAAGCAGGGGTTCACATACCCCCAAAGGAGACCGAGGATAAAATTCTGAGTGGTCCATGACTTTGGGATGAACAAAAGCCATATCTTTATTTTCACTAACTTCTAAATGATATTTAGCACTTCCTTTGATTATGAATGTAGGCAACAAGTAGAAGGCCTTGTGATTTGATCACTAATAAAAATAACAGATATTTTCATATCACACTACAGTTATTGTCTATATCTCAAAATATCATTTAAGCTCCCACAACTCTGAAATTAAGTTCATGTTAGACTCACCACTAAAACATATTATTTAGTGTATTAATAAAGAAGCACATATGTTAATATAATTACAATTTTAAAAATATTTTGATGACTGTGTTTTAGTAGAGTTGTTTTCATTGTAATCCTAATGCATTTTAATTATTCTGAGAAACGTCCACAGGCTTCACCTAGATGGCCCGTGGAACAGAAAGAGTTAAGAAGTCACACCTGGGAGTGTCTCCCTGTGCCTCTTCCAGGAAGAAAGAGTTGCCAAAAGAGTTGCCCTGGAATTGGGGTGTGAAACCATCCTCTGGTGCCCAGGCCTGTTCTGAGTGCTAGAGGGATTCCAGCATTCCATGATCATTTATTGAGCACCTGCTTTGGGCCAGAACCTACACCAAGTCCTGGGGAAACAACTGTGAACTAGGTACCCTCAGGGGCTTCCGGAGTACTAGGGAAGTTAATGGGGAGACAGCCGGCTAAACAGGCCATCCTGAGATGGGCACTAAAGGGCTATGATGGCCCCACAGGAGGGAGTGCAGAGGAAGGAAGCCTGACTCTGGCCTGGGAGGCTTCCTGGAGGAGATGGCTGAGCTGAGCCTGGAAGACGGAAGGAAATGGAGGAAATGGTACCTGGACTTGAAGGGGTTTTCAACTGAGTTGTAAAACATAGGATGTACAAACTAAATGGCTATGAAATAGTTCTGTGGCCACATAGGAGCAAAAGCGAGATGCTGTGTGTCTTGTTCTTTGTGGGTAAGATGAGACAGAGGCTGAACAGATGGTCTCTAATGTCCTTCCAGCTAGGTGACCAATAGTCCTGACATGCCCAGGGTGGAGGGGTTTCCCATCATGCAGGAACTGCAGTGATAAAACCCAGGAAGTCCAGAGCAAACAGGACAAGATGGTCACCTACTTCTAGCCAGAACAGATCTGCAGACATCTAAGGCTAGAAGTCACAGTCATCAATGTCAGCCACATGGAGTACAGACTGCAGCAATCACAATGGTCTCACTGAGGCCCAGAAAGGGGTAGGGACTAGCCCAACGTCACACAGATAATGGGTGGCAAAGCCTGGTCTACAATTGTAGCCCCAATACCTGTCCAATGCTCAGTCCTCTCCCAGCCAGACAGGGAATTCAGTGGTCCCTTCCCCTCAGCCTTGGACACCTTCACACTGGCTCCCCTACCCCATATCCAAAGCAGAATTAAAGGTCGAGTCTTCATAGGATGGGGGATCATTCTAACAGACAAAGGAGCATCCCTGGGTGGGGTGGGGGTGTTCTTAGCAGGGCACTACCCCAAAGCCCTCAAAATCACAGTAGTGTATCTAACCCTCCCGGCCCGTTCTTGGAGGGAGGAGGGAAGAATGGAAAGAGATGGGCTTTTGAGCCTAAATTGGCTTAGGTGTGTATCTCTGCTCCAGCCATGTAACCTGGCAAGTCCCTTCACCTCTCTGGGGCTCCATTTCCTCTTCCGTTGCTGTTGTTAGGTGCTGTCAAGTCGATTCCGACTCACAGCGATCCTATGTCAACAGAACGAAACATTGCCAGGTCCTGTGCGATCCTCACAATCGCTGTTATGCTTGAGCCCATTTCTGCAGCCACTGTGTCAATCCATCTTGTTGAGGGTCTTCCTCTTTTTGGCTGACTCTTTACTTTACTAAGCATGATGTCTTTCTCCAGGGACTGGTCCCTCCTGATAACATGCCCAAAGTATGTGAGACGAAGTCTTGCCATCCTCGATTTTAAGGAGCATTCTGGCTATATTTCTTCCAAAACATATCTGTTCATTCTTTTGGCAGTCTGTGATATATTTAATATTCTTCGCCAACACCATAATTCAAAAGCATCAATTCTTCTTTGTTCTTCCTTATTCATTGCCCAGCTTTCGCATGCATATGAAGCGATTGAAAATACCATGGCTTAGGTCAGCGCACCTTAGTCCTCAAATTGACATCTTCGCTTTTTAACACTTTAAAGAGGTCTTTTGCAGCAGATTTGTCCAAGGCACTATATTGTTTGATTTCTTGACTGCTGCTTCCATGGGCATTGATTAAGGATCCAAGCAAAATGAAATCATTGAAAACTTCAATCTTTCTCTGTTTATCACGATGTTGCTTACTGGTTCAGTTGTGAAGATTTTTGATTTCTTTATGTTGAGACG